AGTCCGTGATCAGACGGTCCGCGGCGTCTGCGCGAAAGGTCCCGTCAGAGCACGCACTGAAACCGCGCGGCATCAGACCATAAAATGAGGCAGCGTGCAGCTGCGTGCAGAGGGCGATGATCAATGGAAGATAGCTTGAGCTCGCAGTGCACACGCCGTCGATGCTGTCCTGGAGTCGCGCAGCGACACGGACAACGTGCGCGACGCGAGGGGCGTGAGCGCCGCCATATGGTCACAGAAACTACGTTGAGCTCGCGTGTGGTATAGTGTGGCTTTGAGCTCGGTATGTGATGTAGAGATGTATGATTAGAGTGAAGGGTCGCAGAGTATGTTCTACACTTCCTGTACATGCGTGTGTGCTATTTGATGCAAGTGCAGCACATCTCCGAGCCGCCGAGTGAGAGAATACGAAAGACATGGAAAGTCACCTCCCCAAACGTGCGGACACCACGCCGCGGGGGTCCACACACACCGGCCTATCCACCTCTCAAGGCTGCCACCATCTCTCTGAACATCGCCCGCAACCCTAACGGTCCCGACCGAGCACCACCCTGTCCTCCTCCGCCCCCCTCGTCGTCTTCTCCAGCAGAGACCGGCCTCCTGTGGCCAGGACCATGTCTCGCGCGCTCCTCGAGCCCCCGGAGGATGTCCTCGCCAGCGTCCCGGTAGGCACGCTCTAGTTCCGCCACACGCATGTAATACGCGCGACGGACGGCGTACGGAGCTAGGCCATTGTACTTCCGTACGAGGGCGTTGACCTCGTCCAACGCGGTCTCGTGGTACGAGCGCTCCTTGTTCTCCCACTCCGCATCACGCATCGTAGTCACGTCCGCGAGCGTGAGCTTCGGAAGAAGGGAGGCGGGGTGCAGAGCCGTGAGCGTGCGGATGGCACGGCGTGTCCAGGCTTGCTTGAGGACATCGCGAAATGTGTTAATGGCAGTGTCGAGTTCTGAAGACGAAGACGTGTTAGTGAGAAGAAGCACAAGCACAGGTGACATGGGCACAGCTGCACGTATGGCTGATACACACTAACGGACATTCAACCCGACGACTACCTGCGGTCAACTAATCTTCACTGGCGGGCTACCGCAGGGACCAAGATGAACAGCGAGATTAACCTCCTGCGCGACTGCTCAAAGCAGGGCCCGGAAGAATACAATGGCCTAGCCTTGCCGTACACAACCTCTCCCTCGGCCCCACGAACTGCGCCCAAGTTCATACGCGTGCGCAATGGGCGCAATGACAACTTCGACGCGCACGGTCGATCAGGACCTGATATGGCTGCGCGACAGTGCTGTACACAGAGCAGAAAGAGTTTCTTTTGCGCATATGTGGACCCGTACCCGTCTCTGTCTGTGTCTTCTCGTTCCACTCTATAGGTCGAGGCAGAGACGGTGACTGCAATCGCTCATGACGAGACTACAACGCGACGTGTTCTGTGCCTCCACAGACACCACAACACTGATGAGACAGGACGTACCTCCTTGAATCTCTACCCAAGGGGGAGCAGCACCCTGCCGCTGTACAATGCGATTCATGAGGAATTCCTCCCGCCCGATGAACGGATTCTTGTCCTCCACCGTGCGAGCGATGGGCTGTCCCCGACCCTTCACGTTCTTGAAGTGCCCAGCCAACCGAGCTCTCTATCCTCGGCGTGCGGCCGTAAGTACCTTGAGTGCCCACGGCTGCCGTGACGACTCCCCCACGCACCTCTATCCGGTCCTCGACCAAGTTCGCCCACCCTTTGAGCGACACCGGGTTCGGTCTCTTGAACTGCTCGGCGGCGGCGGCTGCAGCACCTTTGATACCCAGCCGGTAGTCGAGGGTGGACTCCCGCGCCTGCGAGAGCCGGACCCCCTGCTGCATGCGCTTCCTCTTGTCCCTCTCCGTTCTTTTCGCCTTTTCGTCCAGCGGGAGGGAGGACGAGTCGAGCTGGAACGGCTTCGGGGGAGGGATGTTGCCGTACCGCACGCTCGACGTCGCGTGCGAAGGGACGGAGAACGTCGTGTGCCACGGCTGGTGATCAGGGATACCGGGCAGGATCGGCTCTCCGGGAACGTATTTGCGCACCGTCGGCTCCCTCTCTGTACTCGCGTGCGTCGTCGCACTCGCTTCACGTACAGGGGCCTCACCCTCGGATGCAGCGGGGCCGGTGCGCACCTGGGGTGGAGAGCGTTTGAGCTTTTCGTCGGCACTGCGGACGGGTCCCCCTCGGAGGGGCTTATACTTGTCGACGAGCATGCGTAGCACGGCGTGCTGCATGGGCTCGTCGCCCGTCCAGTGCACGTCCTTGCTCTCGAGCATAGACACGATAGAAGACTTGCGGGCCTCTGCATCCCCCTGTGCCTCTTCCCGGGCAGCATCCTCAAACAGCTTGGAGCTCGCCGAGCGGTCACGTCCGGATGAGTCGTGAGCATAGCGTTTTGGCTGCGTGAGACATCGAGAAGAGTTTGGGAGAGCGAGAGCACGGGAGCGTAGGACGGGGCGGGCGCAGACTGAGCTCATGCAAGTCGAGGACAAACTCCACTTCGCGTGAGGCGCTCGAATCCGCCTGCCTCTTCTCCTTCCCCATCATCGCGCTGCTGCTACGGACTACCTGCTACTCTGCCTGTGCTTATGTATCCCCTGTTGCTCTGCTTCCTGATATTATTGCTATTCTTCGCCGGAGAGTTGTCTGTTTGTTACAACATCCAAGTGAGTGTTCATCCCGCGATGTACTACACGACATCAACGTGACTATATGCGCGCCCTGTTCTAGTCTCGAGCCAGCAGACAACTCGCCATGAATCATCTACTCTACCGCAACCATGATTTTGTCTACGAGCTTTTGTCTTACATCTCTCGGTGGGATCGCGGCTCTCATGCTCACCTGCCGATTCTTCTACCACGACGGCGCAAAACTCTCTGCGGGGTCAAACCGCTCTCGACGTTTTTGTCTATGGCACCAATGTTCGTTTTCTTCCTTGTTTATCTTGGCTGAGAACGGTACCCGCTGTCATTACGTCCGCAAGTTGGGGATATACTACCACCTCGACAACACCGATATCTCCGGGGACGTACTACGACAGCTCTCCCGATGTCTCCATCATCTCATCTAACTCACCTCCTTGAGGAGACACTGTCTTCGCAAGCCTCCCTGCCGTAGGGAAGGCGGTCGCACAGTTCGCCTTTCTACGTCATCTCGACATCGGGGGCGTCGGACGCTTGCCCTGCATTGTTCTAGGCACTCTACAACCCGACCAGCTTCGCTCGATTAAGCTGCACTTGCAGACAGATACAGGGGGTCTGGAATTGAGGAGCATCACCCACCCCGTAATACTCCTCTACAAATGGACTACCACCCTCGAAGCGGTCGCCTGCAAGAGCCTGCAAGTGGCACCGGTTCTCCTTTTTCAAACTTCCCCACCTCCTCCCATCCACCCCGACATGCGCGAACCGACGATCGAACAACATTTCTATCCACTCCGCCCTACACCTGCGCGTACCCCAACCTCACCCGGCTATATGTCTTCACCGGCCACGATGACAGGTCCCCGTGCAAGGAAGCAATGGCGAAAGTCCCCGAAACATTGCAAACAGAACTTGTGCAGCCAGTCTTCCGACGCGCGGTAGAACGAGCTAGAAAAGCGTGACGAGTGGTGTCTTTGACCTGGACATCCTCGGATTCACCCCTTCCCTCGCTCGCCTCGAGTTCCTGACTTCAATTCACACAGACCACCGTCTCGAGAGGCTAGCAGAGACTCTCGATTGCGCTTGGGCTAAGGAGCTGAAGATCGAGGGTTATGGTGTGGAGGTTCTACGCCGTCTCTCGATTATCATGCGGACCGCGTCCGGGTCGCGACCGGAGAATCTGTGAGTCAACCTTAGGCGAAGACGACTGCGAAAACGACATAAATGCAACGCTGGTACGGCGTGAATCACCGCCTGTGGAAGTGCTGACGGACGTGACTATCATATGGAACTATTTGTCGCCACCATTCAAGACATGTCCCTTGCGTCGTCTGCGACTGTGGGTCCACGCTGGCGCCGCTGGACCGGAGGACTCCACAGTGACACTCGATCCCGCAACACGTAGCATAATCGCTCTTCGTCGCTTGTTCGGGGGTCTACCGGTACCGGCGGACTTGCATCGTCTCTCTCCCACTCTGCAGCACGCTTCGTGAACGAGTTCGATCTCGAGGAATTCTGCTCTATCCTAGGAAACGTGTTTGTATCGCGCGAGGTAGGCATCGTCGACATTGCGGTCGAGGGACTACGAGACTGGGACTCGGACTCGGATGATGATGATGATGATGATGATGATGATGATGATGAAGACGATGGACATAGAGACGACAACGACGACGACAACGACGAGGGCCACCGCGAAACAAGGTGTTGGAAGCTGGCGCCGTATTCCCCGCCGTCGCTGAAGATGTCCGATTGACAGGAGGACGCAGTGGCAGCTACGACGTCGGAAAGCAGATTCGGAGTGACTCGTCGCATTCGTGAGGACGGGTACAACACTTGAGTTCGCCGCATCGTGAGCTTGGGGGATGACCGCCAGAGGTCGGTCAGTAGGTCTTTTCCTCTGTGGCATGTGATCGCTAACTTACAAAAATGGACAGAGGTATGCAACTGCGTCGGTGATGGCGTCGTGAAGCTCCGCGATGGCGGGACAGTCTGTCAATACATCTTTGACCTGGACGGACGCTCCGATCAAGTCTACGGCCACCTCGTCCCTACCGAAGCGCCATGAACCTCCGGATCACTCACTTATAGCCCGTCTCCCCCATGCGCTTCCCTTAGCTCTTCTTGTCCGCCGTTTCGCTAAAGGCTATCGCTGAGCCTAAACACGGCCTCCACCCCAGACGAGCATATGCGCGTGGTCGACCGGGATGACTCTCTCATGATCAATCGGTCAACTTGTTAACACAGGGTGACCGCGTTACCTCTAGGCCCTCACAACCTCCGATAAACGTTTGCGCTACTTTCGCGTATAGGAGGCAAAAACAAAAACATGACCACCGCAGGACTCGAACCTGCAACCTTTTGGTCGCTGACGTAAACAGACAGGTAATGCCTGATAGCCGTTGGCGCTCGAAGCCAAACGCGCTACCATTGCGCCAGGTAGCCATGAATGTGAGGCGTAGCTGCTGGCCTGTCACTAGCTCTCAAGGAGACTTACTGTACTTAGTGAGTACTTCCCCGGCGTGCGCCGTCTACTTCTCTTCCTCCCTCCTCCATGTCGTCGGCCGAACGCTCTGGCTAAATGCACGACGACTTTCGCGACCAGCTCTACACTCTGCTTGCTAGTCCTGCTTTCCAACAAACTGCGCCGCTCATTGTTCTCGTTGTCGTACCGACACTTGTCTTGGCCCTTAACTCGTACAGACACTCGATCGCCACCGCCGTCTTGATGGTCTTCGACAGTCTTGCGCTCATCTTCCCCTGGAACTGGTCTGACAACTCTTCTACTCCGAACGGCTCTCTAGAACGAAGGAAACTGAGGCGGAAACAGCAGACACGTTCTCGGGACGAAGACGTCTCGCGTACTCCCAGCCAGGGTACGTCATCCACTCATCTCCTTCCTGGCCGTTGCAAACCGAGTTGCAGACTCTTCCTACGATAGTGCGACCGACGATGGGTACTATCCCGGCCTGGTCAACATATCTGGAACATATTGTTTCATGAACTCTACGCTGCAGGTCCGTCATGCCCTTCTGACCGTCAACCTACCCCTCATCCGCTCCGAAGGCCATGGCATCTTTGTGCTACCTACAACCCCAGCTCGAGCGAATTCATGCCAAGGCTGTAGCGTTGGATGTTCCTACACCCGTCGTCGACGCGCTCCGGGACCTCGTACACCGTCAGTCAATTTTGCGCATGACGTGTACACCTCTAATTTCGTATCGATAGTCCTCAACGATCCATCCTCTTCCTCACGCGCGATCCGTCCCACGGACATCATCGGCGCGCTGTCTGCACACAACTCTGGCAAGCACAACTCGTTGTTCTCCTCTCGTGAACACCAGGACGCACAAGAGCTCTTCCAGCTGCTGTCAGAATGCATCAAGACCGAGACCGTCGCCGTCGCGAAAGAGTTGCGCCGAGATCGGGGGCTTGGTGCCCTAGCTCAGAAGGATGATCGCACCAGCCGCGACCTCAGCAAGACGGTGTTCGATGGTCTCACTGCCAACAGGCGCAGCTGCGTTGACTGTGGTTACACCGAGGCCGTCATGCACTTCCCTTTCGACAATTGGCAACTTGCGTTGCCTCGAATGGCGGTACGTTATCCATGACGCTTCCTCTCCTACGCTGATGTCATGATCAGGCGGCCTGCCGGCTCGAAGACTGTCTCGACGATTACACGAGACTCGAATTGCTCAATGACTGCATATGTCGGAAATGTTCGATGCTCGCGACATATCGCAGGTTAGAGCAAGAAGCGGACAAGTACACAGACGCTACGCAAGCAGCAAACGACCCATCGTCCTCGAAGAAGAGGCGAGCGCGCGATAGCAGGAAGTTGTTGGCTAGAGTGAAATCAGCAATTGACGAAGGGCGATTGGAGGAGGACATCAAGGGCGTCAAATTAGAAAAGATCTTTAGTACTGCTTCCACAAAGCAGTCCATGATTGCTCGCGTACGTCCTCCAGGCCTTGCTTCTGCGAACGCTACTTACGCGAAGCAGCCACCGCACGTTCTCGCCCTTCACCTCAATCGCTCAATGCATTACGGCCATTATGCCGCCAAAAACAACTGCCGCATCGTCTTCCCCGAGGTCCTTGACCTCACACCGTACACCACCTCCGGTCAGCTCTCCACCCAACCTTCCGCACCCATCTCCTCACCTCCTCCCCCGATTCCCATGCAACGCTCCGTCACTCCAACTCCCTCTACGTGCGCAGTTCCCCGCACGTTGTACCGCCTCTCCGCCGTCGTCTGTCACTACGGCCAGCACTCGTTCGGGCACTACGTCTGCTTCCGGCGAAAACCCCGGCCTCCTGCCGCCGGCGACCACCGGTTCGCTCCGCCGAAACTTGCGTGTCCGCTGGGCTGCGATTGCTCCCGCTGCCAGCTGCACGGTCCCATACGCGACGACGAGTGGCCAGACGCCGCTCGCCCAGGGACGGGCAGGGGCTGGCTACGGATCAGCGACGACGCGGTGCAGGAGTGCGGGATCGAACGCGTGCTGCAGGAGGGATCGGGCGCGTTCATGCTGTATTACGAGCGGGTTCAGCAGCCGAGGTCGTGGCCGTCCGTGTACGCGTCCTCCTCGGCCTCACCCCGCGCGTCCGAGGAGACGGTGCGGCCCGAGGATGCGCATGCACCTCCGTCCACCGCTGCTGGCGTGCCAAACGGAGACGTCAGTCACGCGAAGGACCATGCGCACAGAGATCGAGAGAGGGAGAGGGAGCACAGGGTGAGACGGGAAGAGAGGGAGCGGACCGTCGACCCGCGCGTCGTCCGGCGCGTGTCCGCGAGGGCGACGAACGGCAGCGCCAGCAGCAGCAGTGCCCCTTCGCCGGCGCCGGTCGCACCCCCGATGGAGAGGTCGACGAGCGCGAGCAGCGCGGTGACGGCCGTCTCGAGCTTCAGCACCGCGACCACGTCCAGTCAATCGAGCCACAAGACGGCGAACGGCGACGCGAGCATGAACGGCCATGCACACCCTCCATCGAACGGGCGAGCGGACCCGAGCCATCCGCAACGTCCGCCGCTACCGCCGTCGTCGCCCTCGAAGTCGTCGTCTTCCCGGCTGCGGAAGACGCGGCGGTCGATCTCACATGTGGACGGGAGTCCGACCTCGGCTTCCTCCCATCCTCTTACGGGCGCCAGTGCATCTTCACGACCGTGAATCTCGTGCTTTGCTGCAGTGTGCTTGTTTCTTGGTTTACTACTTACTATACTGTATGGATCTAACATTACCGATCGTCCGCGTCCCTTGCCCTCCGCTCTCGAGGAATACATACACACGGCTATTGATGACCCAGCGCTCCTGAGCGTGCAGATGAAGACCATTCGTTGCAAGGTGCGTTCGAGTGTTGCGATGACAGATAAAATGACCATTACCGTGGTTCTACCCTTCCCCAGCCAGCTTCATTCACTGTTGTCGAGTACGGGACTGTATACGAGATTGACGCGACAATGCATCTCGTACCCTGAGTAGTAAGATGCTCCGTCAACCTCGTGAGTGAGAAGCTAGCTGACATTTCAGTGCGCTGCTAGACTCTCAGAACATCTATTACTTGGGTGCTGACCTCATTTTCATAGCCGGTCTGCCGTCATGCTTGACGATTCAAGTATCCCACCTTCCGCGCATGTACGGCGGCACTCCCGATGCAAGTGCCCCACCCACGGACAGAGGAAGCCCACGGTTGGCTACGAGAAAGTCAGCCTGGTCGAGCACGCAGCGCATAGGTTCATTTGAGGCGGAGGCTCTGTTCCGCGCGAAGACGGCGATAGCCTTCAGCAAAACGGTGGACAAGAAGACACCATTCTTCTTTGGTCCATTACTCACTTGCTTTCTATGTTGTGTCATACTGCAGAGATGAGGATGGCGCACTCCATGAAAGGATGTCAGCGTCCTGTGCTGAGCATCTTGTATGTTCTAATCCGGGGCTATAATACAGTGGGACTGGATCGCGCACGAACAAGTACATCACGAACACATCATATGCTTGGCTTCAGGCTTCTCCTTCGACAGCGTCAGCAGCCTCTACCTTGGCTTGCAGATCCTTGATTGTCACGTCGGCCAGGAGCTGAATCTGCGAGATGGTGAGGATCGGTCGGAGGGCGAACGACAGCGCGGCAGCGTAGAGCGAGTCGAGACCGTACGACGTCAAGGGTACGTCGATGGACACGTCGTCCACCTTCAAATCGAGCACCTGGCACACGATCTGCGACAGCGACACCTTCTTGTCGCCCCCGAGCGCGACCGCCTCTTGCGCCTCGGTCGGGACAAGGTGGCCGTACACTTGATGGGAGCGTCCGTCGTCCGCGAACCGGACGGCGCGCCAGTCGAGGTCAGGGATATACTGCCAGACTGTCGCGCCCTCGCGGAGCTTCATGATACCGTCGCCGACGTAGTCGCACACCTCTGTCCATTGATGCAAGTTAGCGATCGCATGCCACAAAGGATGGAAGACCTAAGGACTGACCTCTGGCGGTCATCCCCCAGCTCACCATGTGGCGAACTCGAGTGTTGTACCCATCCTCGCTCATCGTCAGAATGGAAGTGTCCAGGATAATCGGGGGGACGATCGAGAAAGCGTTCTTGTACTTCCGTGTCAGCCCTGCCAGAGCTGCATTGGCACTGTGCAGAACGACATGTCAGTCGTGACTTACGCTGAGGATGACAGCCACTTACGCCGAGTAGCTCGTCTGGCCGGCGTTCCCAAACAGACCGGACACCGAGGAGAACGTAACGAAGAAATCGAGCGACTCAAGATCGACCGCACGTTGGAGAGCGTGGAATGCTTGCACCTTCGGCGTGAAGGCGCGCTCGAAGGTTTCGGCCGTATGGGACTGGAACATCCCATCGGAGAGCACGGCTGAGAGCAAGAAGCAGCCACCCAGCGGTCGCGTTATACCCCGGACCAAAGCAGCCATGCCGTCTGCGGAGGCGGCGTCCACCGCCGCCGTCTTGATAGAAAGGTCGGCACGCTGTTCGAGGTAATGGAGAATGCGTAGGGCAATGAAGTCGCCGCCGCGCCGTTGGAGGCTCTCCACGCCGGAACGAGACGTCAAGACAATGTCACGAGCACCTTTCTGTGGTTCCAGTCAGTATGGCTGGGTGCGCTGAATCCATACGTACGGACGCACCTCGTACATCCACAAAGCGACATGCAGTCCGAGACTGCCCAGCCCACCGATAAGGAGATACGACTTGCTCGTGTCGAAGAGGTTGTTGGAAGAGGCTGCGCTGCTGGATATTCCCTGGAGCAGGTCGGACAGAGGAGTGTATTTGATGGCGGGATGCGAGCGAACATGATGTATGGCGTTTTGGAGCGCGTCTCCGAGGGCCCAGGGTTCGTTGGCGAGACCGTCTGAATAGTTCCATAAGAACGTCCGGCCATGCGGGGCCAGCAGGGACTTGAGAACCTTGACGACATCCGAGTCCTGCGTGCCCG